GAAATGTGCAGCTTCCTATGCACCCAAAACTTCTTCTCCTAAGAGTTGGTTTCAAGATATGGAAGATAATGCCGATTGTCGCTTTTTTTACCGCGCTCGTATGAGGGTAAAATTTGTATTTTCTGAACTCGATTTCAATAATCTTGTTCATCCAATTGACTTGATTATAATTTTAGGTTTCAATTGCTATAATTTTCTACATGTTTGTATAATTGATCATGGTTTCTGTATTTAAAAAAAGTGTGTTACAGTCTAAACTATACCGGATTGTAACATCATAACTATCAAAAAGGGGTAGGACCCTTGATATTGGGCCTTACCCTCCCTTTTTTTATGGTCATGATGTTACAGTCCAGTACAGTTCGGACTATAACATAGGATTCACTACTAAAATTTCAACTTTCAGCAACATGGGAGCAGTGCTTGCATTGTTGCTGAAAATGCTTGCAATATAGTTAAAAGCCTTTTAGCAACATAGCTTTAGTTGTTAAAAGCTTTGTTGGAAAAGTCTTAATGGCTAATACATTAGCAACAAAGGATATGTTGCTGATGTATCAGCAACATACCTCTTATTACTAAAAGAATACTTTCAACAACGTGATTTATGTTGGTAATATTTTTATCGGATTCTGGTGATTAATTGTGGAGTTTATTCAACCATTTTCAGCAACAAAAGTCACATTACTAAAACTCTATTTTTAGCAACGTGACTCGTGTTGTTAAAAGTTGAAGGGAAACGGTGGTTTTAACACGCCACTATTTTTTCTCCAGCCACGTGTCATCTGTTACTTCGTCTCCAAGCTCTCATTTAATTTTCTGACATAAAGAGAGCGCTGCAGGCTGTGTCTCGTACTGTATCTTGCAGAAATCAGAGACGCACTGCAAAAAAGACAGCGAGCATGGGACGAGGTGGTGGAGGTTCAAAAACCCTATAAGCCTACTACCCTATAATTCTCCAAATGAGAAAACCAGTTTTAATGTTGAAGTCATTTCATTTTAGCTCTTTCCTCAAAACAAAAAAAGGGTCATTTCATTTTAGCCCAAAAGTAGTCAACGACGGAGGCGAGGGTTTTGTTTAGGAAGTTTTTGGGTAGA